TTTAATGCGACGGAGCTCTCGGGTCAGTCGCCGCTGAATTTTGCGAAGCTGACTACTCTTTCCCAAGTCACTGGGTCTGCAACATGTGCAGCAAATGCTGCATTCTTCTCCGACACCAATGCGCCGATCGTCGCATTGTTGTCATCAAACCAATCAGGCAGCTTACGGTTTGCGCGCCCGATGGTCTCCTCGGCAGCAGCTGTCACCTGGTCCAGAATGTGCTGCCACAGGTTGCCCACTGTGGCTATGCAGTCCACGTCGCACAGGCGTGCGGCCATCGCCTTCTCCAGCTCATTACGTTTCGCCACAGTACCGAGGGAGAGAATGTTAAATTTACGCCGATTCACGGCGGGTGTGCAATACATTGATTTACAGTTTGGTCCGCACCAACTTGTGATCAGTGCCATACTCAGCTCCACGCAGTACACGTGTCATGCGCACTTCACGCATATCACGCTGACGTACGATGACACAGTCGAGCAGGTGAGCGTGACCACTCCGTGGGTGCGTCCAAGTTGCTATATCACTCGCACTCAGTGCAAACCGGGTGTTCGTGATCGTCAGGCCGTGAGTGGCACACAGTGAGAGCAGCCTGTCAACGTTCGCATTAGCTGAACCAATGCCATGCGCACCGATAACATCTGCCCACGCTGATGCATCACGTCCAACGCGCGCGTTGAAATCACCCAGCAGAAATAGTCGGTCGCTCCTCGGCACAGACCGTATCACGGAGTATAGCTCAGTGTAAAATTGATCACGCGTGTCATCCGGATAACACATGGTCGGACCGTACATGCTTATATAGGTAGCAAACTTACCTCTTCCGAGTCGTGGGCGAACCGTCATCAGTCGCGCGCTGATGCCCGTTGGTTCACCCACCAGCTGGCCATGGTGATCAGATATTGCGAATCCGACCCCATGATCACGTGGTGCCGAGGCGGCGTTGCCCACCCAATAGAATGTGTAGCCAGCATCTGTTTCATGCAATTTACCGGGTTCCACTGAGCGCAGCAATATCGATGTTGTAGCGCGCCAGTTCCATCGCGACCAGTGCAGTGCGTCTCTCCGGGCGCTCGCTGGAGTTCCGGTCCAGTAGTGTGCGCACGTTCCAGCACCCGATGCGGAGTGCTTTGCGTGCAGGCATACGATTGCATTGGTAGGCAATGGAACGCGAGGTGGTCGTTGTGCTTCGGAGGTTTGCTTGAGGGACCCCACCCGGAGCCTTTGGCTCAATAGGTTGACCCACAAGGCAGTGGGGAGCAGATCCAGCTCGGGAATGTGATTGCAGTGGCAGATTGGGATCTGTTTGACGGCCGTCACACGCAGCCTTGGAGGTACTGGAAAGATTTATTTATGTTTTGCGACCGTAGTAGGATACACCTGCGACCACGGCCAGTCGCAGGTGGGTTTTGGCGGGTTTGCACCAATTTGACCAGGGGCTGCCTGGCTTGAGGCGGGCAGTAGCAAACCATTGAACACCCGGAGGTGTCCTCCCACCGTCAGAAGCAATGCATGGCGCTCGTGCTCTACGCCAATCGCGTTGTGAGCTTATAACCCGTAGATCTGTTGTCTTTCATGGCTAGGTTTTACAGGAAGAGGGCCATCGAGCATTTCCTAACCTCCAAAGAGGACGGACTAGGATACTGGCAAGGCGCCCACTCCTGACAGCAGAACGACTCGGGTCCTCAGCCAAATCCTTCGATTAAATGAACACCCGAAAGGTCTAGCACATGGTCAGTTCACTGACTCATGCAGGTTGGTGTCCTGGATCTTAGCAGGGAGAAGGGCGAAACCCAAATCCCACCCAGTGGTCGCCACGAGGAGGCGCCCAGGACATAAGCAAATGGAACAACAATAGCAGCAGTGGGTAGACGATCTGTCAGGATCTAGCCACCACCAGCCTCAGTGCACCATATGCTCTCCTGCTATATATATATATATATATATATATATATATATATATATATATATATAGA